ATCTTATTATTCTGTTCATAAAAGTATCAAGAATCAACGATTAAAAAGTTAATGGTTTATGAGTTATTTAACATTTTATGTGACATAATAAAGTAACATATCTTATAAATTATTGGTTTTTTTTATACCTCTACCTTAATATAATAATTTTTATATGCAGAACAATTAAAGAGGAATCATATTGTGTAAAAGAATTCAAATAATTTCATTTAAAAAAATAAAGTTAACCTTGAAATGTCCCCAACCTTTATTTATAAAATAATTGTTTTCACTATATGATATCTCCCTTTGTACTGAACACATTAGTATAAACTACTTTTTCATATTCTTCAAGTTTTTCTAATAATTAACTTGGTCACTTTATATGAATCACATACAGTTTGATTACATGGCCATATTATTAGGTATTTAATTGTATAAAATATTTATATGCTTTTATATTTAACTTTGCTAATTTCATATATAGTATCTTTTAATATACACTGATCTAATGTAATGCAAGTGATCAAATTCGCTATTTTATTCATATATAAATGAATATAATTACAGATGCCACCAGCGAATCAGCAGCCTGCTCTAGACCAACCATTTCCTTTGCCAACCAGTAGGCAGGTTTCATCGATACCTAAAGCAACTGGGGAAGGAGAATTTTGGGTATATCCCTCTCAACAAATGTTCTGGAATGCTATGTTGAGGAAAGGGTGGCGATGGAAAAACGATGATATCTCCCAGAAAGATATGGATGACATAATAAAAATTCACAATGCAAATAACGAACAGGCATGGCAAGAGGTTCTTAAATGGGAAGCCCTTCACGCGCGAGAGTGTGGCAATCCCAAGCTGCGTAGTTTCGGAGGGAAAGCGTCCAAATATTCTCCACGTGCGCGTATTCGCTATTGGATGGGGTACGTTGATTCTTTATAATCCCGATTCTAAAAATTTTAACCCTGCTGATCTATTCAAATATATATATATATATATATATAATATCACATCATTTTGGTCAACATGATTAAAAAGTTCTAAAAAATGGAAACTTCATAAAAAAAAGACTTTATATTAACAAATGAAATTAGCAAATATAAGTTTTTTTTTTAAATAAAATATTAGTAAGAAAATAAATTACATTTTGAGTCAGAAGACTCAAATAGGCCAAATAAGCCAGCAGAGTTAAAGTAGCTATATGGTCTTTACAACACTATATTAAATATATCAAACTTTTAGGTACGAACTACCATTTGATCGACATGATTGGATCGTAGATCGTTGCGGAAAAAACGTAAGATACATTATTGACTATTACGATGGCGGGAAAGTTAACGAAAAGTATACGTTTGCGTTACTCGATGTAAGACCTGCAATGGATTCGTGGGATAATATCTGGGATCGGATGAAAGTAGCATGGTGGCGTTGGAAATACCAATCCAACGATGAATCATTGTCTACTGCCACAGTGCATTAATTTAGAAATTAGTGCAAGTAAAAAATATGCTAGCCCCCGAAATATTTTTACTGAATTGATAATTAATGCCTTGTAATAATTACGCAACACATTATTTATTGCGTGATGAAACAAAAATCACGATACACAATTTATGTACATATTAGATACATACATAAGTATCATAAATACAAGTTGACATTACTTATGTATATTTAGTTTGCAAAGTAACGTCAAATTAAAGCGAATTAAAAAGTATATACTTAATAATAAATTTTATATATATTTTACAAATATATGTGTATACATACCTTTTTCGTCCATTATACATAAATCTATTAAAATTTATCTGCAGTGTTAAGTAATCAATGGAAATGATTTTATAAAGAGTTACAAATAATTTTAATTAATTTAATTGCGAATTTGTCTTGTGAATCATAAAATTGTACTTAAATCATGTACTATGTACATAAATTTAATCTATATAAAAATATTCTTAAATATTAATTTTATGATTGTAAATTTTGTTTATATTTTAAAGAAATTTGAACTTGTGCTGCCAAATATTAACATCGAATATTCTCTACTTAAATCTTAATGCTAAGTATTCAAAGACTAAGTAAAAGAATTGCGTGCGTGCGTGCGTGCGCGCGCGTGTGCGTGTGGGGAGGTGCGTGCGTGCGTGTACAGGGTAGACCATTTTAATCAATACACTTTAATATTTCGAAAGTTTTTTCAAAAAATCTTTCATAGACACATAAGTTTTATGGTTTCAAGGGAGAAAGAAGATGATGACCTTAGTTGACCTATTCAAGTGTATTGATTAAAATGGTGTACCCTGTATACGTCACTTAAGGCTAGTAACCCAAATAACACCCACAATTTTGGAGATAGGAAAAAATGTTTCAGATGAAAGTGGAACGATTTCAAGGGAGACGTATTTTGGTCATGTTGTCTTTCTTTTAGGTAGAGACACCAAAAAGATATGAAGTTCACGTCTATTTTTTTGAATGGAATTGTATAATTTTTTTTATGTAATATAATTCCTTTAATTATTCTGCATATAAAAGTGGTTTATCAAAAAACCAAGTTTACGATATATTTTATACTTTATTGTGATACATATTGACATAAAATGTTAAATAATTCGTAAACTATTAATTTTTTGATAACTGTACCTTAATAGTTTTATGAACAGAATAATGAGATGAATCAATTCGTGGAAAGAAAACATAGTTGGTTTAAAAAAAATATTTACGCACACAAAATAAATAATTTTTTAAATAAGCAACTATGTGTTTTCTTTCCACCAATTGATTCGTCTCATTATTTTGTTCTTAAAAGTATTAAGGTACGATTATTAAAAAATTAATAGTTTACGAATGATTTAACATTTTATTATTTATAATTATATAATTCCATTTAAAAAAATGGACGTGACCTTCATATCTTCTTTACTAGAAAAAAGACAACATAATCAAAACACGTTTTCTCTGAAATCGGTCCACTTTCATCTGAAACATTTTTCCTATCTCCAAAATTGTGGGTGTTATTCAGATGACTAGTCTTAAGTGACTCACCCTGTGTATATATATATATATATAAAACTTATAGATTATAACCTTAATCTCTTTCACGAGTACATACCTTTAATTTTATATCATGATTGCATTATTTATTGAAATTTAATAATCATTGCCTTTTTCTTCGTTATATTAATCAAAGAAAATATATATTTTAAAAATTGCACTTATAAATGAATTTTAAACTAATTCGTTTTTTAAAATATTTCAATAAATTTTTTTATGAGAAAGTATTAAACTATTCATATCTTAACTATACAAATTACTCAATTGCATGTTTTAAATCAGGAAGTAAATAATTTGACAAATATTATTCACATTGTACATTATACAATTTTTTTATTGTCAATATACATATAGCTCCATTTAGTTTTCACAATATTTATAGTTATCAGCAGAATATGTAATAACTTTGTACATCTTATAGACTAAAATTTACATAACTTCGTTAATAGATTGAGGACCGTTTAATTGTAGGAAATGAATAATTACGCTGCAAAAGTTCAGATATTGTTAAAGTTAAACAAGCGATTATAAAAAGTTAGCATTAAAATAAAAAATAAATCTTAAATACAGAATAATATGTGATGCTATTCTCTTCTAGTAAAACTTAATCCAAATTATTCATTTCAATGAGTTTTGATATGCAAAACTTTTTTAAATAACAATATTCATTTTTCATCTAGAAATTCCTTAACTATTTACATTTTCATATGTAATTAGTATTCCTTAAATGTAATTTAGAATATATATATATATGTATATATATGATTATATTAAAGAGTATAGAACCAAAGAATTGTACTTCATTTTCTGAGTAAGAATATATGTAATATATTAAGTGTTGCTTATTAAAAATAATTCTATTTTTATAAAGTGTCATATATATTAGAGGCAGTTATTGGGAGCTATATTCTTCATTGACATGATGTAAATTAATGATAAATATCTTTTCTAATAAAATATCCAACAGAGTAAAAAAAATATATATATTTCATATATTATAGAAATTTATAATCAATAGATTATCTGTAAGCCAAAATTGTTATTTTATGTTTTTCTGCAGTTGTATGCATATATTAATACTAATATATACATCATATTAACATGTGATAATGATACCATTGAATTTACAATAATCTAAAATTTTTATAAGACATGATATTGCATAAGCTAGTCATTTTTATCATAATATATTTAACATTAAATACAATTATAATTTTATAACTGACGAATTTGTTCGATTCTCATTGTTTTAATATTTTAATAAAAGGCAGCTGCTATGAAATATACCGACATTTACAATTTTTTGGTAACATTTACTTTCTTGAACACTATTGATTTTATTATTTAATATTTATTTAGAGTTTGTTAAATATACAACGACTATTATTAGATAATAATCTAATATTAGATAATAGTTTAATATTAGATATTACTAAATTTCATACCTAAATAGAACTTAAACTAAATTCTGATGGTTGGGTAAATAGTATGTCATATGTACTGTTGGCACATTAAATTATTTTAGGGAAATTAATTCTAATTAATATTAATTATAACAATAAAGAGACCAAAATATCGTCAAATTTAGTTTCTTTTATATGTATATATAAATAATAAGCAACAATGATAAAAGTAGCAATGTAATATAGAAGCAGTAATAATAAAATATTCCATTAATATACAATATCAAATAACAGAGAGTAACATCAAATATCATTGGATGACATAAACATATACAGCGTGTCTTGCTTCTACCTGAGCACTTTCGTCTAATAAATAAAAATATTGTAGAGAAGATTGATCAATGTGAAACGACTGAGATATACTGACGGTAATTAATAAAAAAATTGAAGCGTGCTTTATTTATATGTATATAAATATATACAGGGTGGCCCATGTAGTGTTACAAGCTATTATCTCTGAAAGTGTATGTCAAATGACTAATATGTTCAGACAAAAGTTTTATGACTTTGAGGTAAGCTACAAGAAAATGTAATAAAAAATGGGGGTTCCATTTAAAAAATTTAAAGTAGCCTTACTCTCACTTTAACAACGCTACCCAAGATCGAACAAATGGTACCATCTTATGCTCTCCTTGGGCTTTACATGGGCCATCCTGTATAACATATTTCTCTAAAAATTTAAATTCAATATCAGTCACATATCTATATATGTGTCATAAAACTATACTTGTTTATAATTTTGATTATGATATTCTCCTTGATTTTATGTGATATCAATTTCAAAACATATAGTTTTATCTTGTTATATAATTTTTTCTGGCTTATAATCAATTTATAGTTTACACCAAATCCTTGTTGACTTTAAATCTGTAATCAAATCTATAACCTTTGTATTATTACAATCTATCGCACAAGAATATCTCATGTTGTTAAATCTGATTATGTGGTAAATAACGATGACAATTGCTAGAACCACAAAGACAAGAAGTATCACTGAGATAATGGACGGAATTAGCCATTGCATCACCAGCATAGTCAAAAGTCACTTCCTCTCCGTTCTCTATATCTCTCGATGCAAACAAGCATAATCGAGGCACGATTCCCTCTACTCTAATTGGAATAAGGATAGAATTCGGGTCACAGCTATGATTAGCATAGCGTCCAATATTACCAAAATATTTCGGATCTATACAAGTTACAATAACACGATCTCCAGCATGTTCTGATACTACAAGAACGTAATTCATCACGTTATCCTGCTTATTAGCCTCGATTCTGCATCGCGCTTCCTGCAGACTTATCACTTCGCCAGCGTATTCGCAAATAAATTGACCCTTTTTTATTAACTTATTCGTGAAAAGACCGAGACCTTTATTGGCAACTTCTCTGACAATTAAACAATTTAATGGACCATTCTGTACTAATCTATTTCCACAATCTGGTCTACATTTACAACGAGCATGGCATTCAAATACCGGACCAGTTAATTTCTCATCGACAATTCGAGCATTAGAATAATTAGCAGAACCGCGTGTACACGAACAATTAAAACATTCAGCTATACACGAACAGCCTACAGCATATTCTGCTTCAAAGTCTGTTATATCTATCCCAGGCCCTGGTATATTATTTATTATGTACATAACATCCGCTACAATATGTTCGTACTCGTCGGCAGAAGCATTCGCTTCCATGCTTACCATAATTATGTATCAATAAAAATATCCAAAAAAAGTCCGAGACTCTTTGGGACAAAGGCAGCACGAGATAAACAAGAAAAATTGTTTTTTTAATTAAGAAAGGGACTTTTTTTAAATGAACAAAATCCTATCGTGCAATACCAACTTGTAAAAGTCCCTGAACCGATGACTTAAGAGATTGGAACGTGATAGCAGCAGGTACCGCTACAACTTTGTAGCCTATGTAAATTACAGCACCAAGTACAGATGCCTTAACGGTCAGCTTTAAAATTTTACCCGACAACGATGATGGTGGTATTCTGCAAAAGACTGTCTAGTAAATTAATATGTAATGGAATACATTGTGCTTTAATATAATACATAAAGGATTCCTAAATTTTATTTAGTTTAAACTTTATCGCCTACAAATCATATAAATCAAGATCAAGAAATATAACAAGAAAACATAACAAGAAAAAATATGCAAAAGTAGTTCTGCAGATGCTTTTAGAAATATCTCATACAGTAGCAATTATATTATGCAATATTTTTTACTTACCTCATGATAGGCGGTATATCGGAAGGCTTAACTTTACCCCAATTTTCAATGATGCCGGGTGTATGTCCTAAACCGACGATTCCTACGACACGCGCTGATTCGTAAGAATGATTAAAAACACGATGAGGCAGACAGGACAACTGTAGAGAATTCGTCAAGTAAATATCTCTCTCTTTCACAAACACTTCGTCCAACGCTGGAAATTTCTCCTTCATGTTGGCAATTATTTCGTCCAACATCGATTGTTGCTTACAGAGTTCAACGTCCTCTTGAGTAATAGAGTCTTTCATTACTGCCACATTCCACCCTAGTTTTATAGTCTGCCACCAGGACAATGATCGTATCGCACGTTGCATTGTTATGTTAATTGGTCGATCGGCCAGATGAATAATACAGTTTGGCACACTCTTTGTCTAAATTACACAATAATGAATTCATATAAATTTTATAATACAGATAATAGATATTTTCCAGCAAGAGATATAGATGACATGGTGAATCATTTCATTGCATACTTTCCATTTAGTGACACAAGTCGACACAAGCATCGTTCTGTCTTTGTTACTCATGGAATGTCAAGAAAGATAGAATGACGTTTGTGTTGACTTGTGTTACTAAATATAGAAAGCACCTTTTTGTTTAACATTGGCAAACAACAAAGATGTTATAATTCGCTGTTACACTGTATCAATTGCATCTCTTGTTGAAAAACACTGGATATCTCTGATTTCATACTGACCTCCTCAAATGCCCTTCGGAATTCCCCTCCTGGTGGCATACCAAGTTGCTGAGTGACACGAGCTGCCATTCTTAGCAATAAAATGTGTAGTAAACCAACATACAGTCCTTCCCTTTTAATGGTATCCATAATAGTTTCTGTAAATAAATTAAGTAGTACAATATGCCAACACAGTAGCTGATGTATTATACAAATATAGAAACTCTGTCTCACTGTAATCAATATTCTTAGCGTAGCCAAACAAAACTTTCTCGTCAAGTTGTAGTATACCAACTCTAGCTCTACACAATTCAACTGCAACTATGTGAGGCTGCACAGCTTGTATAATCTTTAACAAAGTAAAAAAGAACGTTATTTTCAATATTATATATATTAAATTTTTACAATAAATTCATACTTAAAATTAAAAATCAATATTTTATTTTCACAGAATAAAGAAAAGTACATATATAATTACTTTTGACACATCATTTTGACTTTCAACACTGAAATGCGCCGTTCCTATTAGGTATAACTTTCCTCCATCGGGTGTGGTCAATAATGTGACAGTTTTTGGCAATCTCTCATCAATAGTAGGATCGTACCCCCTTATTTCGATTTGGACTCCCTTATTTTGGATATTGGAATCTGCATTAGACCCAATATTTTCTGTATTATAAATACATGGTCAATATATATACCTAAATACTAGGTTAAATTAATTTCAAAAACTACAACAGTGTACCTTGAGACCTTAAAATTTTCCTTCTACTTCTATATTGTTTTCGTGTTACTGACATTTTTTTGAAAGCACTGTTCTATGCACAATAGCTTACGTTATGATAACAATGGCTGATTTTATTATTAAATTAAAAAGATTTTGTATAAGTGGGAAACCTTACAACATTAGCTGCTTCAAAGTGTCCCTCACAACTAAAGATACGTTTGTCAAGTGAGTTTCTAACAACAGCTAATATAACAAAAGTGTCTGCAGAAATCTTAAAATTTGTTTTTTACTGCTGCATTAGACTGTAATAGAACTTTCTTTTTTGCTTTTGTTAAACATCAAACATATATCTATTTCACTTTCATGAATAACATTTAAAGAGTGTGTGTGTGTACCAGCTAAGATCTTTAATTCCTTTATCCTTTACATGTTTATGATAAATGTTTAAAGTGCATATAACTCGATAATTACCTTCATCAATAAGAATCATTTCACTGTCAGAGGACTCAGTGCTTTTCATCTTGCTATCATCATCACGATTGTCGCCTGTGCTCACTATCGATAATGTATACGAAGACTGTGTTGCTGACTCAGAATCTGATTGTGTCATTCCACGTCCAGATTCTTTGGCAATCAATTCTTTTGTAACATTTTGTGCATTTAACTTATTCGATGTATCATGATCCCCCCTTTCATCAATTAAGTTGTAACACTTGTCCTTTATGGACGTTAATAGATCGCTCTCCCTTTGATCACCACCGCCATGCTTATCAGCTTTAGCAGAAATGGATGTCATTTCTTTTCCTAAAAATCCATATATTCTTATAACACAATCATCTTTGTTTTTAAAAACTATTTCTAAAATATCTCTGTTGCAACTACGTGCTAATAGACCATTGGAGCAAACTCTTGCACTCAAATAACATATAAAAAGAAAGATTCTAATTTAACGTTTTTTATAGACTTTTATATTTCTAAAATAAAGAACATTCCCGAGTTCTTTTAAGAACCGAATTTACCGTTATATACGTCTTCTTAAGCGGCAGATGTCAATTGCTGCATGCTTCTAACCTCGTGGAGAACTGACACGTTTACAGAAAAAGATTCTCGCATCGCTACAACAAAAGAATTGTGTAATTTATCTTCAATCAGGTTAGTCGTCGTCATACTTATCTCGTGTAAACTTACACGGCGGACGCAGACAGACGAGAATTTGAAGAAAAATATAACGTATGGAGAAATAAGCATCAAGACCAAGTCAGACCAAATAGATCAAGTCATCTAGTAGTAGCACCTAATGGCCTAATGCTGATGCAGTCACAGTGTGCACCTGTATACTGGTATTATAGGTAAGTGGTAGCACCGCAGTTTTGTCGGTATCTTTCACGCCATGATAAATTAGCCAAGTACGCAAAATGCGTGTAAGTAGATTTTTTTCTTAAAATTCTTCATTAATTTTTCAGAAGTTCTATATAAATTTTAATTTCTGAATTTTTCAAAATTTTTATATAATTTTCAAACGTTTTAGAAAATCAATTAATTTTATACCGAACGACAAATATCGATTTGTCAATTTTAACTCAGCTGGTCAATTGGGATCCTAAAATTGTCTGTATTACCGACTAAACCATATAATTTTTGTATAACAATTACTTTTTTCCTTTTTTATTGATTTGAAAATCCTTTTCCAGGATTAAAATATACGCATTAATATGTGTCTGTGAAGTGGAGTCTATGTTGAGAATGACAAAAAATTTTGAAATTAAAATTTCCTTTACCATTTCTTGGCCCGCTATGGCACTCCAGAGCTGTGACGTTCACGTCGTGACAATATTTGCTTCATATAAAAAGATATGTGCAATCTGTGCTTACGAAATTGTCCACAGATTAGTAGTTTAATTGCATGAAGAAACAGAGTGGAATTCTTAAAATTATACTTAGACGTCTAATTAAAACGTAATTGTTATATAAAAATTGATGTGTATGTGTGGCATGAGTGAGATATTGATGTAGTGATGTGCGATCGTTTAGCAGAGGAGTCGATAGTATATCTTGAAACAAGGTGACAATTTCAACAACGAAAGTGAACGAATTTATTATAATATTTATTGCTCAATATCAGCTAGTTTACAGTTTACATAATCGATTCCTTATATAAGTTTTGTAGGCTGCGGTCCACTTGATGCTACAAACGCTTCGAAGCGTTTGTAGCGTCAAGTGGATCGCAACCACAATTGTTGTAAAATTCTTTAATATGATTGATCCTGCTCTTAGTTCCTTTTTTACTGGATCTAATAAATGTATATAATCAATTATATTAAAAAATTATACAACAATTGCAAAACTGCTTTCTCTGTTAAATGCGACCAAAGTCATTACAAATACTTTGAAACAACTGTCCAATCAGAAAAAAGTATTTCACAAATTGACCAATCAAAAGAATAGTACTCCAGAGAAGCAGGTGTCATTAAAATAAAGATACGATTAACGCGATGTTATAAATGCTTTAAAGCGTTTCGTGATTGGTCAATTTGTAAAATTCTTTCTTCTAATTGGTCAATTAAACGCTTCAAAGTATTTGTAGTGATTTGTAGCATTTGTAGCATTAATAATCCAGTTCCTATTTTAAAACCGTCCTAAGTAATGTCTTAAGATGCTATAATACAGCCCTCTGATTGGTTTATGATTTCTTAAGATTGTACTCAAGACGATCTTAAATATAAGAACCGACTATGAATACCGGCCTATGATCTATAGTATTTATAATCAATTTTTATATTTGAAACTGCAAAGTACAGTCTTAAGTACAGTCTTAAGATGTTGCAATAAGCCAATCAGAAGGCAGATTACGAATACCGCCATAAATACTGACCAATAATCTGAATATCCATTTCTACCAATATTACTTTAATCTCAATGATCTCGATTTAATTAACTTATTCTTTATTTTTTCTACTATATTTCTGCATTCCAAAAACGTCCTCTCTGAGGAAACTTTTACTGAATATAAAATATAGGCTGCTTTCTTAATTGATACAAGTCGATACGAGTGTTAAAATTAATCTATTATACATTGATAGAAATAATTAAGCTGTGTTCTGTTATTCACTGCAAGTACTAAAATCTATAAAATACATTTCATGCAGTGAAAGAAAGCTGGCTTTTTACTCTCAATCCACCAAAATCAAAGCAGTGTTCGAAAGCTGTTCACTCTTCTCCTGCTTTTCCTTTTCATGGAGCGTATTTTCGCTGGCTTTAAGTTAACGAATATACTCATTTATTTTCACTAGCTTTTAATTCATTTTAATAAAAATGGATTACAAAAATGGATTACGAAAATGAGAATACATCGAGTGTGTAAAAGAATATATACCAGTAAATTCAGGGCTGGGTATTTTTGCATTTAAAATGCCATTTAAAATGCAATTCTATTTAAAATGCTAAATGTAAAATACTTAAAAAAATGTATATTAAAATGTATGTAGAAAACTATTCTTGTATTTGAAAACTATTTAAATTATTTATTTACCCATTTTACATATAAAGTGGATTCGAAAAACATTTTACATTTTAAATACATTTTTGTAAGTATTTTATATTTGGCATTTTAAATGATTACCCAGCCCTAACCAGTATAGTAGCAGCTATAGCTGCAGCAAAAATTCGGAGGCGACGCATAGCCGTTGCAATTGCTAATATACAATTACTAAAAACGAAAAAGTAGAATAACACCTATTTCCAAAAATCGCAGCGAACATGGCTTTTTCTTTGCTTCGCTCCCAAAATTAATCTTGGAAGACATATTCCATAAACATGACATGACATGTTATGATATGTCATGCCGTGACATGACATGTCATGTATTTCAGCGATGTTCGCTATTAGTTGAACAATATCGAACTTCGAGCATAATTTCGCTGTATACGAAAAATGATGGAGTGGGGGTAAAAAGCCAGCTTTCACATAATTGAAAAATTGAAAAACACAAATAACAGCAACAGGGAATAACAAATTTTAACCTATCAGAAACCGTGTATTCTGGTGTATACGATTTCTGATAAGTTGAAATCTGTTCAAATATATCATTGGCTGTTCCTATTGCTTGTGTTTTTCAATTGTGCATTAGGCTTTATATTCTTCTCCTTTCTTCCCCCTTTCCGGGCGACCTAACCACTCAACACCAGGCGGGGTGTTTGTGCCTGTTTGTGCCCCGTGATTCGTACTGTCACGCATCACCGTTCGGGGATCCCGGTATTCCCGGTTCGGGGCACCGTCGCGAGATTCAGCGGAATTCATCATCGCCGCTGGGCCTCGATGAAGATGAAGCGGATGAAGAGCGAGGTGATCAGCGCGACGATCGAGTCTTACCTAAAACGGCGTCATTATCAGGTGCGGTGTCTCTCGTCGGAGTTTCACGCCGCGCGTGGCTTGCCATCAACGTGTACGCCATAACCTCCTTCACCGCTGTTGCATGTTTTTCCAGACCCACGATTATCGCAAGGGCGATCAGTTGTTCTGTCAGAACAGCGATCAGACGACGTTGAATGCGACCGCGGAGTGCGGTACCTCGCAGGACAACTCGATCGTCTTCAGTGCCATCACCATTGACATCGCCGCTGCAGATCAGGCATATCAACGGTACGGTTTTATAGAACTTGAACTCGCGTGTTCGAGCCGCACGACGTGATTACTACTCCGTTTGACCTAGCAAGATAAAGCATTTTGTTGCCTAATTACACAATACGTTCAATCTTACTAATTCTAGATTCTAATATTTTATATTGCAATTTTTTATTCATAATATCATAATGTGTGTTCGCTGTGGCTTTCATGCGACTCTGATTTCTCAGGAAACTGCTAAAAATTAGATGCATTATGTTTATTTAATGGTAAATTCGATTAATTACACTATACTGGACTATTATACATTAAAGGCTGTTTTATATAAAGTATTTAAATGCAGTGGCATAATACAATTAACTTGACAATGAAATAATGCATGTATATTCTGTTACAGAACATAACATTATTATATTATTACTTAATCATTTAAAATATTTATGTTTCTATATTTAACTTTAATGATTTCATGTATAGCCACTTTTGGTAAATTTAGCATTAATCTAATGTAGGTACATTTTCATGCTGATGCTTGATGCTCATCTTTAGCATCAAAACAAGTCATGTGATCAAAATTGGTGCTTGATATTTATTAATTTTGACCACATGACCTATTTTAATGCTAAAAATGAACGTTAAGCATCAATATGCAAGTGACTGAATTCACTATAACAGTCTTCTATTTTTATAATCTGTTTATTTATTCAATGGCTTGTTTTTGTTTTATAGGGAAGCCTAGAACGGGAGGTTGTTATCAGGATAATTAATAGCGAATTCAATTGGACATACTGCTCTTTAATATATGTACAGCCACGAAAAGGTCACAAAAAGATTTTTTTTTCAATAGATTTCGGAACTTAGCCTTGCTAGAGTAGTTGAACGTAAACGGTTAGATTCTTAAGTAAGAACGAATCACTCAGTAAGCTGCATTCCACAGCCATGGAAAAAAAAATGTTGCAATCTTTCTCTGACCGGCTTTACATTAACCTTTAAGGCCTGGTTTTTCATTACCTGGTTAACTTGTGATTATACTTAGCCACAAGTTAACCAAATAATGAAAAATTGGGCCTAAGGGTCTCTTTTACCAACTTCGGTTAGGCTAACCGACGATTACATGGAGCTCATTTATGTCCTATTCTACCAATGTAGTTTAATTTTAATCTTGGTTCAATTTGTTCCTCATCCCTTTCTAGTTCTAAGAATTAAAAAAAGATGAAGAGCAAGTTGAACTGAGATTAAAATTAATCTACATTGATAGAAATGGGCATTAGACCCAGTTTCACAACTCACGGTTAACTCTTAACCAAGGTTTAACTTACTCATTATCTCTTTCCAAAGGTAATAAGTTGAACCTCGGTTAAGAGTTAATCGTGAGTTGTGGAACTGGGCCTTAATGAGCCCCATGTAACCATTGGTTAGCTTAACCGAGGTTGGTGAAAGAGACCCTAACAGAAACACATATTTCATGTATCATACGATAGACTTTTCAAGTTGATTGACTGCAGAACAGAGAGAGGTTCTCGAATCTCTTTTATAACCATTTAATAAGCGTGAAAAATTTGTTGTACAATAAACACAGTATTAGCTTAAGCCCGGATCTACAATAGGTTTTTAAGCCTTAAGCCATAAAAAGTGGATGAATCATAGTCAATTATTCTCCTTCCATTCGACTGTAATTGGTCAATTTCTTACGGCTT